TAAAAGATCCTAGTAGCTCAGTGGTTGGAGTTTTAGCCTCCAACTCTAAGGTACCGGTTCGAATCCCGACAATGACAATAAACCACCTAATAATAAGTTAAACTTCTAAAAAATATAATAAAATTAAGAGATAGGGAAATAAATATAAATAAAAACTTAAATAAGCAAAATATAATATAATTAAGAGATAGGGAAAATAAATAATAGATATAATAAAAGTGTAAATAAATAAAAAGGATTAAATTTTAGTGACCGATTTGGTTATATATAATCGGTCACTGAATCGATCACTGATTCGGTCACTGAATCGGTCACTAAAATCAGTGACCAAGGAAATAGTGACCGATTCCAGTTGGTCACTATTTCGGTCACTATTTTAATTAGTAACCGATTTTGCAGATTTAGTGACCGAATTTTCGGTCACTATTTGATGTTTTTCTTGTAGTGCATCTTACCTCCTTTCACTCTTACAACACACTCACATAATGATTATGGCACTTTACAAAGCAGAACAAAGGGCACTCAATCCTCAAAACAATAATAATTCAATACTATAATGAATGCACAACAAAAACAAAGCCATAAACCGATCTAGGATTATGGTGGTGATAAATGATAACATTATCTTGCATTTTTCTTACTTGAACTTTGTTTTACAAAAATATTATGCTAATGTAACAATTAATTAATTAGGATTATGTTTAATGTTATATCTCAAAAATATTACCATAAATCTATGTTCTTTTTATATAAAAAAAGGGGAAGAAATGAAAAAATTAGAAGAAAAGTTTTTGAAAATGTAAATTCATGCTCATTGTGGAAGTAAATTTTAATTTTTCAAAGTTAAATATTATTGAATGTTAACATTCTACTACTAAACATTTTGATGGAGGCTAAGCATGAGAACTAGATTGTAACCTAAATTCATGACTTAAATAAATTAACAGAAGGTGATTCATGCACTTTGTCTCAAACATCAATGAATGTGGTGGACAAATTTATCGATAAATTCCCTAAAATAATTATCCTTTAATGCGTCAATTTTAACCACAAATTCTTGTATATAGGTAAATATTCATTGATAACAACATAATTTTTTTGACATATTAGAATTCGTCAGCAATTAGACATTATCTTAGAGTATAAATACATGAAGACAAATAACAAGAACTAAAATTATTATAACTTATATATACTTTAAAAGAAAGAGTAAATTCTTCAAGCAGAACATCTCATTCATTTAAGTAAGTCATCATCACAATCTCATAACATTCCTTCCCATACATAAATACACTTAGAGTTAATATATAGAAAGTCACCATTAAGCTTTTGATAATCTTTCACCTAATTTCTCTTATATTTCTTTGATTTTTCACTACAAGAAATTTTAATATTACCGACGGATTTAATAGTCCTTCGGTAATATTTTTATTATATATTAAATATTTTACTTATATAGTTTATTTATTTATTATTTATTATTTTTATTAAATATTCCCTTTATATTTTTATTATTTATTATGATAATCTTTCACCTAATTTCTCTTATACTTCTTTGATTTTTCACTACAAGAAATTTTAATATTAATGACTGGATTTAATAGTCCGTCGGTAATATTTTTATTATATATTAAATATTTTACTTATATAGTTTATTTATTTATTATTTATTATGATAATCTTTCACCTAATTTCTCTTATACTTCTTTGATTTTTCACTACAAGAAATTTTAATATTACTGATCGGATTTAATAGTCCATCGGTAATATTTTTATTATATATTAAATATTTTACTTATATAGCTTATTTATTTATTATTAGATTAAGAGAATTGTTATTGACGAGATTCAACCTAGTACCTTAGAGTTAGAGATCGATACTCCAACCACTAAGCTACCAGAATTTTTTTATAATAATTTACAAATAAATTATATTTATATATTTATATATTTATATATTTATATATTTATATATTTATATATTTATATTTTTATATTTTTATTTTATATATTTTTATATTTTTATATATATTTATATATTTTTATATATTTATATATAATTAAATATTTTTACATATTTTTATATATTTATATATAATTAAATATTTATTTTTTTAAATTATTTAATTTAAGAAATTATTATAAATTAATCGAATTATGATTAAATTAAATTATTAAATAAAAAATATTTAATTTTTTAATTAGGTGAATATTTACTAATTGTTAATTTACTGACGGAAATATCCGTCGATAATTTACAGATGAATTTACCGATGGATATATCCGTCGGTAATTAATTGTTAATTTATCGACAGATTTACTGACGGATATATCCGTCAGTAAATTCATCTATAAATTACCAACGAATATTTCGACGGATATATCCGTCGGTAACTAATTATTATTTTACCGACGGATATATCCGTCGGTAACTAATTATTATTTTACCGACGGATATATCCGTCGGTAAAATCAAATTCCACAAATATTTTATATCCGTCGATAATAATTATTTTCTGACGGTTATAAATCCGTAGGTAATACGTGTTTTTTTTATAGTGTTTTTTTCATTGAAAAAATTGACATCTAAACTTATAGTAACCCTATCAAGTTGGATCTTGCACCTTGTTTTGAACCTAGTACAATTATCTACATTTTGTATGTTGATTAAAGTTCTGGTTCAATCATTTGTTGTGTCAAAAATAAGTAAGAACGTAGTTTTGACCCTAATATTAACAATTTGACCTTTGTTCACTAAAAAGATGATATTGCGAGCTATATAAAATACTCTATAATGAAACCAATACGATTAATTAGATAATATGCCTAAATGGGATCATAACCTAAAACCAAAATAATGTCTAACTTTATTTCCAACCTAATATAACGCTAACGTATATCTTAGTAATAAATTCAATCCCCAAAATATTAACTCCTTCAAATAGATGAAAGGCAACAATTTATATACATAAATGAATTTGCATTTTTTTTTATTAATTTTGGTTAAGATCTTATTATGTATCTGCACTTTTAAACATTAGATCATGTGATAATCCTCAATTTTAATACAGCAATTAGGATCTCCTGGGTACAATTTGAATCATACGAATCAAATTACTATAGGATCAATTACATTTTTAATAGTTTGCAAACTTGTTTACAAATTGGGGTTAAGAATGCGTTCCTACAATAGTTTGGACACTAAATTACATTATAATTAAGACCATTAATCCTAATTTATTAAATAGAACACTTTTGTTTCATCATATTTTAAAAAACACGTCACATAAATCAAATCTTAAAATTCTAATAAGCACAATTTATATAAAGAAGATTTCAAAATGTTACATAAAAATATACAAATACATAATAAACTAATAATTAAATTACAACTTGTTAGCATTATGATCATAACACTAAATTTACACATAATAAAATTTCATTAAATTATCTTTCTATCCCCCATTCTTATAAATATTTATACGAATGATGATATCTTAAACTTCAAGATACAAATTACTAATTAAAAAAAAAAATGTTATCCACACTTTAAGAGCAAAAAAGGAAAAAAAACTAATATTTATTTGTTTAAGACTTCTGAATATCAAACTCAACTTTCTATTAATTTTATTTTTTTAAATAATTCAACTTATTTTATTTTTATAAAATATTTTTATTTTATTTTATATTTTAGGCTAATTAAATAATTTATCAAAGAAAGTAAATAACCATATTATATATTTTTTATATTAAAAAAATATAAGGTCAAATTTTATTTTTTAAATTTTGTTTTTTCTAACAACTCAACCTATTTTTATTTTTTATAAAATACTTTTTTCTTAGGCTAATCAAATAGTTTACTAAACCAAATAAATAACTATATTATATATTTTTTATTTTAAAAAAAAAACAGATAAGAGTGAAATCAAGATAAATACAGAAGCAATGTGACGGCGGGGGTTTACGGAGTGAAAGGATAAAAGACATGTGTAGTATGCGTAAAGGAGATAAGAATATATTATAAAATATATATATATATATATATAATATGTTAAATAAATGAAAAAAAAAAGAGTAAGTAGATAGTAAAGAAGGGGGGTGTAAATAACATTATTGTCTACTAATTTAACTCTATCGATTAAATAAAGATTAATCCAAAAATTCTGACGTAGCGTGTTGTACTTTTTTTCATGGGACTACGAGTACTTTTCATTATATATATATATATATATATATATATATAATTTATTTTATTTCAATTAAGATTATTGTAGGTAAAAAAAGTGAGTTTGGTTTGAAATAGTTTTACAATAAAATGTTATTTTTAGTTAAAAATTTAAATGTAGTTTTAATAACTTGTCCCATATTTAATGCTGCAAATAATTAATGTGAGAGATATACGGAATGTGGCTCATCATGACTGTTGTGTCTCATTCGCACCCAATGTGGCAAACATGGGTTGTCTTGCATCAACATTCAACACAGTAATTATTTCTTCTTCTTTTTTCATCCAACATTTTTTTCTCTTCATCTTCACTATTTTATCTAACACCCAACTTGAAGAGAAAGAAGAAATATTATTTTTATAATACTTTCTTAAATAAAATAAAAATCAGATGAAAGTATCAGAAGAAAATAAACTATAAAAAGGAGTTGAGAAAACATTGTAAAAGTAGCATTGCATTTCTCTCATTATTATTGTTATTGATGGATATAAAGTCTTGAACTATGACTCTTGGTCACCACATTTTCCTCTGAACACTTAACATAATTCATATATTAGGAAGGGTCCTCCAACCACTGAAATTCTGTACAATCACACCAAACTCTACAATTACTATGTTCAGTGGGTGCTACAAAAACAACAAATGTAGCACTTGGTGGGTCTAATACATAATTACACACCAGTTTCAATTTTTCCTTCTTATTACTTTCTTTTTTGTCTTGTTTTTTTCCTAACAAAGCAGGGAACAAAACTGATTCATGAAAAACTCCATCAACTAATGAAAGCCCCCTGCTACCATGGTTGCAGCCTTGGCCTCATCAGCTGGTTTTGGGGTTGGCAGCAAGACAATCGCCATTATAGCACTCAAGGCCGCCGCCGCCGCACCCACCATGAAAGCCGGCAAGTTGCCACCACCAAACAGAGCATCCCAAGGACCACTCAATGCAGACACCACCATCTGTAATTCACATGTGTGTATACATGGTCAAATAATTGCATCATAATAGTCCTGATACTTTTTATTTATATTCAAAGTATCTTTCATGAGTCAGAAATCAAAGACTGATTTCTTGAGACGCTGAAAAAAACAAATATATGAATGAGTTAGTGAATTTTTCTAACCTGTGGTACCACAATTGCAAGATTGAGGACTCCCAAGGATAAACCTGAATCAAGAAGAATAAAGGGTTAGTAAAACCCAATTGGATATATGAATTGGCTAAAATTTTAGAACAATTTATTTGATTTAGTGTGTTAATTAGTATAACATGATTTGTTAAAAATAAACAAAAGTTGTGAATTGATTTATTTACCTTGGCCTGCTCCTGCAGAAGTGGAGTATATTGATGCTAGAGCAAAAGGAACACTGAAAGTAATCTGAACACATAAACAAAAAACAGAACATTAGTTTAAGGCAAGTAGATCATTTTTAAGCCTTTTAGTTCAGCTTTTCCCATACTTCTTTGTTTTTCTAATTGTTCAATAAACCTTGTTTTTTTTTTTAATGTAACTTCACTTCATTCTTACTTAAAGAATAAAGGGTATGTTTCTTTTATCATATTTATTTCAATCTATATTTGAATTATTATCCAGCAGTATCTGACATAAATTAGGTAATCCCTGCCAAAAATATTAGTCTGACAAGAAGTCCAAACCAAAACTCCACCAGTCAAAAGAGTCTACCTTTTTAGACTTTTCAAGATTCTTTATACAAAACTAGTAATCAAAGATATACAAACTTGAATTCAATTTTTCTTTTCCAAGAAGAAAAACTTCTTACATGTTTATCTATTTGCATTATTTTTTAGTAAACTGAATACCCTATTAATAAATAAATAGTATTAAAAAATAATATAAAAGAATTTATGTATACGAGACAATTAGGTCCAGAAGTATTTTGAAAAAATATCAACCAAAAAAATATATAACATAAATACGAAATATATATTCCAGAAAAACAATCACACACCCACTAATTAAACGTTTAATAACTTACTTAATCTCTATATTTACATAATTTTTACGTTTTTACCCCATACACTTAAAAACAACTCATTTATCTGTCATAAAAAGTTTAGAGAATTAGACAGAATAAAACTTATTTGTACGTGAAAGCTAAAACTAATGTTTTAAGATGTCTAGATTAAACATAAACATAAACATAAAAATGATTAACTGAATAATTAAATTACCGTAATGATGGGTTAATAATTAAACAATTTAGAAAGAAAAAGGTTAGAATTTGATATGTGAATAAACAATTAAAACCAAACGCAGTCGTTTAGGACACGTTGAGAACAGAGAGAACGTTACCGCAAGGGGGACTCCGAGAACTGCGAAGAAAATCATGGACCCAATTTTAACGCCATCGGAGGGGTGGCCCACGGCGGCGGGGTTCAAGTGGCGCTGGTGCTCCGCCACCTTGGTTATCACCACGGTCATTCCGAACCCAATCGCGAGAATGAAGTTCACGATCGCCCACAGCCTCTTCACTCCACCAACCATGCGCCCCAACGGTTCAACCGCCAGCGACATGAACCCCAAAACGACGGAGTTTAACAGCAGCCCCAGAGACCCCACGCGCACCCCCGCCGCGTACGCGTCCTCGCCGGCCGTTCCGCCGTACACCTCACGCCCCATCCAGTCGGTGTCGAACAGGAAGTAGGGAAACCACCCGATCCAGTTGATAGCAGTCACCAACATGAGCATCCACATCGGTTTCTTGAGTTCCTTCAACGCGCCGAACAGCTGAAAGAAACACGAGGGCTGCGCATCCTCTTGCACCGCTTGTGCGATCACGGGCTTGTCCTTCACGTAAATGAGAGCCACCGTGGCCAAAAACAGCAGCAGCAAGATGGAGAAAAAGAAACAACTTTTCAAGTTGGCGCAGAAAACATCGCACGCCTTGGTCTGCGTGAAGGGAAAGATCTTGTGCAGAGCACTGAAAGACCCTGCTGCATATCCCAGCACGTTGCCAACGGCCATGAAGAACGAGAAAAACCCATTGGCTATTCTCGTTTTTCGCTGGTCACCGGCAGCTAAGTCTGCTAGGAACGCACGACAAGGTCCCTGTAACATGTTGTTAGCCACGTCTAGGATCCAGAATCCTATGACAAACACTGCAACGGCACGGGGACGAGTTTTCTTTGTTATGTCATCCCCAGCTGAGTATCCTATATCGGCTGCGTAGCCGATAAGGAACACAGCTATGGCGACGGCCACTGCACCTCCGAGGATAAAGGGGCGTCTTCGACCGAAGCGGGAAGTGCTTCGGTCGCTGTAGTAACCCACAATGGGCTGCACGACGAGTCCGGAGATGGGGCCACAGAGCCAGATGAAGGAGGCTGCTGCGTGCGGGACTCCTAAGAGCTGGACGTAGGGGGTGAGCAGAGAGAGCTGAAGAGCCCACCCGAATTGTATGCCGGCAGCTATGGACGCGACAGCAAACATTTTCCGGAGTGGGCTCGCCTCGGCCTGGCCGGCCTCCACACTCATAGTGGTGATGGAAGGCTTTGTTGGGTCGTTGGGTTTGGTGGGAGATGGTACCTCCATCGTGAAGGAGTGACCTCAAAAGAGAGAGAAACGTGGCTTGTTTCTCAGTGTGTTCTGTTTTCTCACAAGAAGAAGGACAAGAGAAGATGTGTTGTGTGTGGAAGGAAGGGGGGAGTGGGGGATTTTATAGCGTGGGGAGAATGAATTGGACTTAATTTAGACAGGGAAGTGTGACTTAAGATGTGTGGATATATTTTTGGTAATTCATAATGGATAATTAAGTTTATCCCTTTTTCTGCGCAAAGTTATTATGTATACAAAGAGAAGAAATAAAAAAGGAGTTCAAAATGCAATGGGTCCTATTCTCAGCTTCCTCCTCAACGAGGCTTCAAATTTTACTTTACTTTTATCTTATCACCCCCTTCACTGCATGAATTTCGGCCCTCACCGTCACATAGAGAATCTATACAAGTTTAAAAAATTATGCAAGATAGCCTCTGTAATTAGAGCCGTGAATAAAAAAATGGAAAAGGTAAAAGTGTAAAAATAAAAAATAATATCAAGTAGGTGTATTGTATATATTATACCATATCCATATATTAATTAGGGGTATGGTATATGGGTTAAGAGATGGGACAGAGTATGAATAGAGACAGGGGTGTAGAGTATGATGCATGAGTTGATTGAGCAATTCTTGTGACTGTTAAAATAAGAGTGAGGTGCATTTGGCAACGAATATAATGGGAGTGAGTTGATTAAATAACATTAACACCAGGAAGAGTGTTGAAAATTACAATAATAAAGACAAAGATAAACCTGGCTGGAACACGGACTAAGAAAGGAGAGGCCTTACCTACGATGCATGAACTTTGTCCTTTACCGTGGGATAAAAAAATAACGTGAAAGGTTCTAAGGTTATGTAAAATAAGTTTAGTTTCTTTTAGATTATAAAATGATAAATAAATAAAATTATAATAATAATAATAGGAGGAATCCCCAGTGGGATCGATTTAGATTATTAGCTGGCGTGGGTGTGTGTATGACTGTGATTTGTGATTTGATTTTCAGATATTTTCCGGAAGATGATATATAACAGAATAATTTTGATTAACTGTAAATAATAATATCAATAATTTTACCTTGAAAATTATTTGCATTATACTTTTATTGTATTTGGTAAAGGAGATTGAATTAAAAAAATAAATAAGATAACGTAATTTTTGCACTACGTAACATATCATACTAGATTACTTTTCAGGGTGAAGGATTTAAAACTAAAAAACTGTGTCAGAAAAATATCTAAACCTCAAAACAAAACTCGTGTCTTTACATCTTGTTTAACCTAGTTAAGGTTAAGAGATGACCGTTACATTTAAAACAAGCATTTTTTTTTAATGACAAATATTATCTTTAGCATCTACTAAATCGAAATAGTGTCACGACAAATATAACAAATAATTGTTAGTATATAAATATGAGAGATTTAAAATAGTATGCATTTTGTATAAGATGTGTTATAGTAGATACATACAAAATATATTTTTAAGTTAGAAATAATTTAGTAAAAAATTATTGTTTTAATTTCTATTTTATTTTAGTTAAAAAAAGTTACATAATTACCCTTAATTGGACCAAATCCATTACAGTTTACTTACTTAACGTAAACAAAAAAGAAAAAAAACTATTATTTACTATTCTTGCAAGATAAGAACCTTCCAATACTTCTTGGAATTAGTTTATTCTTCAATCCTTAATCTTTTAATTATTTTAAATTCGTCTTCTTTAAGTGTGTCCAAGAATGATATTTCAAAAACACTTTAAAAATATATGTATATATAATAAATAGTACTTACCTTAAAATATTATTATTTATATTATTTAAAATGAATATTTTTTCCATTTTATACTTATTTTAATTATTCAATAATTATGCTAATGTAAGACTTTATTAATTGATAATTATGTACACATTTACATATTAATTAGAATTAATTTTATTCTCACCTATTATTTGGTGATTTAATTATCACTTATCTCACTTAGTAACTTCATTTTTTCTTTCAATCAGTTTTGGCTGAGACATATCCCCCATTTACATTCAAATTTCATTTTTCTTAAAAAATCCTAATTTTTCTAGCATTCCATTTCGGCTATTTGACCAATCTTTTACCATTTTATCACACCATGGATATAAGCTAATCATTATAATCATATTGAATAAAAAGGGTAACAAACAAGTAGAAACAAGTAGAATAGTAAACGAAATGTAATGAAATATACTCTCACAAAAGCAAAAGCAAGCAGAAACAAGAAGGAAGTGGTATTATTGCAAAAGCAAAATTTGAGTATTAATAAAGAGTGAATATATATACAAGTGACGATAGAAAAAATGATTATGAAATCTGAGCTCTCGAACTTTGAATTTAATGATAAAAGAGACAAGAATTCGAGAATCAAGTATCAATGACCAAAATTTTGAAGTTAGAATTGAGCATTATTAGTCAAATTGATTAAAGACCGTTGTGAAAAATCACTAATAATTTTATTATGTTGAGAACCTCCTTAGGCTAAGAATGGATGTTTAATATGCTCACTTGGAACAAAGAGAATTAAATGTGGAAGGAGACAAAACTTTTATCATAAAGTCAGTTTGTTGAAGGCTAGTACTAATCGAGAGAAATTTGATGGTACATTGGTTAATTTTTTCATAAATAATGGACAATTTATCTTTATGTGTTTGGTCCTTTGGTGAAAGACTTGAGTAGAAGCTATATGAGTAGTAAATTTATTATCACAAAATAAAAGGGCAGGCTTGAGATGAGGTAACTTTAAATCATCCATTAAATAATGTAATCATTCGATTTCACATATTGTGTAGGCTAAAACACAGTATTCAGTTTCTCAAGAGCTTTGAGAAACGTTAGCTTGTTTATTTGAATGTTAAGAGATAGGATAGTGTTTAAGATATACAATGTACCCAATAACAGATTGACGAGAGTCTGGGCATTCAACTCAATCGAAATTGCTAAAGGCTTTAAGGTGTAAATCACTACTAGTAGCAAGGACGATACCTTTTCTTGGGTTCTTTGAGGTACCATCAAATTCAAACAGAGGCTTGATGGTGTGCAGTAGTAAGGGCAACTACAAATTAGTTAAGATGTTAAACAACATGAGTGATATTTAGTCTAGTATTAATGAAGTCTATAAGTCGTCAAATGAGCCTTTGACAAGGAGTTGGATCAGGTTCACTAGAGTTTGTGGATATACATGTAGAGAATTTCACTAGTTTTAGATGCAAGAGCAGAGCCAAGCAATCATGTATCACGTAACAAATATAAAACATATTGTTTTGACAAAGGTGTATTATGGTGTTGTTCCTTACTATCTCTAGGCCAACAAAATAGGTAAGATTTCTCATGTTTTTTTTTTTTATTATTTTAAAAGCATCACTGAGTAAATTAGTAATGAAGTTGATCTCATCCATGTCATTTCCAATCAAAATGATATCATCAACATAAACAAGCAAAACAATTGTACTAGAATGGAGTGAATTTTAAAAATAGTGATCGGCATAAGCTTGAATAAAATTGTGCATTGTAAGAAAATGGGAAAGATTTTCATATCATTGTTAACTAGCTTGCTTAAGCCTATAAAGGGACTTATGGAGACAAAAAATTTATTAGGTTTCCCATTGTGCAAGCCCGATGGAAGCTTCATATATACTTTCTCATGGAGGTTTATGTGGAGGAAGTTATTATTAACATTGAGTTATTTTAATTGCCAGTTGTTGATAATGGCTAAGGAAAGAATGAATCAAATAGTGATAACTTTTGCAATATGGACAAAAGTGCCAATGAAATTGAATCATTTTTAGTTAAGTGTATCCCTTAGCAAAGAACTGAGCTTTGTATTTGTCAATTGAACCATCTGCTTTATACTTTATTTTCTATACTCATTTGTAGCCCATGACCGTCTTGTTGGCTAGCATATCCATGATTGTCCAATTATTTTTTTGTTTAAATGCATCAATTTCTTCATTCATGGCTTTGATCCAATTTAGATATTTGAAAGCATCTTCATAATTCTTGGTTCGACATGAGCATCGTAGTCGAGGATAACCTATTTATGAGAAGAAGAAAGTCAAGTAGTAAATATGAAATATTGGATAGGATACCATGTTTCTTTTGTAATGGTGAGAGATGTGAGATAGTCATGTAATTATCTCAAAAGTTTTCTTAAACAAGTGAATTATCGAGGTGGAGATTGGTCATTGACAGTGGCACCCTCATTAAGAGTAGATTCATGGTTAGATTGTTGGAGTGAAGGTTAACAATTAGTAGTAGCATCATCGTCAAAGATAGATTCGAGATTGGTATGGTCATATAATGAGCTTTTAAAAAGGCTCAGAGAGTGTGTTGAATGAGGATCAACTTATAAATGGATAACATTTTTTTCAATAGTAGGTTCCACTTGTTTATTAGCTTGGTTGCCCTCGGTACCTGAGGTATCAGTAGTGTCAAAAGGTATTGGTAAAATAGTATCTGAGATATCAATAAAATTGGTATCATTTGTTTCTTGAGTTTGAGAAAAATGATTTTTATAAAAAATGACATTACGAGACATTTCAATATTATGAGTTTTAAGATTGTAAACAATGTAACATTTAGTATTTTGTTTAAAACCAAGGAAAATACCAAGATTAGCTCGATTATCAAACTTATTCTTGTTAGTATTTGAGGTACTAATATAACATAGATAGTCAAACACATGAATATCTCTCAAATCATAATTTTTATCATAAAGTTTTTCTGAAATGGGTATAGTTGTAAAGAAGGGGAGTAGGAGCATGATTAATCTAGTACACAACATGCTTAGTGGCATAGCACCAAAATTTAGAAAAAACATTAAAATGAAATATAAGGGCTCGAGCAATATTCAATATATGTTGATGTTTTTTTTTTCAATAACATCATTATGCTTAGAAGTCTCAATACATGTAGTTTGATAAACAATTCTTTTAGAATCAAACAAATGTCTCATCATTAATTTAATATCATTAT